ATAAGATAACACAAAATCTTTTTTTTCAATAAGACATCGCATATTCTAGAGGTTCTAAGTTGTATAATCAGATATTTATTCTTTTAGTCATTCAACAAACCTTAAAATCCATGTGCCAGGTAGTTATATGATTAGTGCTGGGGATAGAGAGATAAAACACATAGTTGCTTCTTCTAGGAATTAAAAATCTTCTATTGGACACAAAATACTAAATCATACTGTCATGTAAATGCTATGGAGGTATCAAGGAAGAACTCAAGGAGAAAACCTAAATCAATCAGAGTGCAGAAAGAGAAGGTTAGAGGAGGGCCAGAAATGGCTTCTGAAGAAGAATGATATATGAGCAGAGCTGTAATGGAAGAATTGGAATTGGTCAGTCTCATGAGCGGGACAATAGAATTCTTGGCAGAGGAACGTAGGGAAAGAAGCAAATAAGCTGGCAACTTATTGCTAGAGTAGAAAACGTCTAAGAAAAATTATAACCAAGGGCCAAAACAAAAGAAGAATTCTCAAGTCCTCTAGAGTTGCAGTATCCAATATGGTAGCCATTAGCCTGATACGGCTATTGAGCGACTGAAATGGCTCAATGATGCATGCTGTAAGTGTAAAGTACACCTTGGACTTCAAAGACTTAGTATGAAAAAAAAAAAAAGACAAATATATCCAATAATTTAAAACTATTTATTGGATGTTAAATGGTGATATTTTAGAATAGATTATGTTTAATAAAATATGCTATTAAAATTAATCTCACTAGGTTCTTTTTAAAAATGTGACTACCAGAAAACTTGAAATTCTGTATGTGTTTCGTGTTCTATTACCATTGGACAGGATTGTTCTAGAGGTTCACAGCAGGCTGGCCAGGAGAGGACAGGACTGAAAAGAGAAGCCATGTTAGCCCACCAGCAAAGACCAAGGAATCTAACCTGTTATTGTGATAGGGAGTAGAGCATGCTGAGGCAGCAAGACCACAGCAGCCAGAGCTGCAGAATTCCGGGAAGTACTCAGTAAAGACAGAACTTTAACCTGAACTACTTTATTCATAAATGGGGTTGATCAATTTGCCACCTGTTTGACACAAAAGAAAAGAAATTCTATATTGATTAAGTTTCTAAACATGAAAGTTAAATTATTAAAGTTCTGGAAGACGGCATAGAATTTTTAGTTGTTACACCATTGGTAACTTGAAACTGGCCTTGCTGTAGTATTTACACCAAGGTGCTGTTGTTGTTAGGTGCTCCTCAACCATGGTGAGCCCATGTGCAAATCAGTAGGGTTTCATTGGCTGATTTTCTCAAGCAGCTTGCCAAGCTTTTCTGCCTAGCCTGTCAGCTCAGCTGAAACCTGTTCGGCATTATAGCAACATGCAAGGCTCCATCAGACTCGGGTTTCCTGCATAGAAGGAGAGAGTTCTACCATCCAAATGCTACTGCCACTTATTTACACCATAAACCCAAAACCAGATTAAACCTGTTGCCATCGAATAGATTCCTTCTCATTGACCCTATCGGGCAGAGTAGAACTGCCCCATAGGCTTTCCAAGGAGAGGCTGGTGGATTCAAACCACTGACATTTTGGTTAGCATTCAAAGGCTTGATCACTGGGCCACTAAGCCTCCCCACAGTGACTGGACTCAGTGAATCCTGGTTGAAGGATTAAGTCCAACCAAACCCGTTGTCGCTGAGTCAATTCCGACTCATAGCGACCCTATAGGACAGAGTAGAACTGTCCCATACGGTTTCTAAGGAGCGGCTGGTGGATTCGAACTGCTGACCTTTTGGTTAGCAGATGAGCTCTTAACCGCTGAGCCACGATTTGCACCATAGAAATTAACAAACGTTACAGGTAAGACTCTTCCCCTCCATGGAGGTCCTTAATCATTTAACAGCATACCACTGCCCATACTCCCCAAGTATTGAAAAGAAATTGTTTTCTAAAAGTTTTCCCATAGGTATGTGTTACTTGTGAAACTGAAAACGAATAGAAAAGCAAAACTCCATAGAAACCAGTGAAGAGAGGCAACAATATCAGTCTAAGTCCAGAAATCTTTAAAGCCTATTTTAAACGAATACCCAGGTTCTCCTAGACAATGAAACATTGTCCTCAACTGTGCTCTCCTGCTACAAGATATCATTTGCTTGAGGCAATCCAAATGCTATCACTTCCAAAAATAAAATTTTATAGGTAGTTTTTAAGAGCCTAGGCTTCAGAGCCACAATACTTGTGATCTAATACAGGCTCCATCAGTTATTAGCTGTGTGACCACTGGCCCATCACTTAACTTCTCTGAGCCTCAGAGTACACAGTGGTAAAACCATAAAATACAGTGCTAGCAAAGGATTGTTGCAGATACCAAGTGAAATAATGAATGCAAAGCTCTTCCACTGTGAGAACTGGGTGCATTTTTTTGCTATTATACTTATTACTAGGTTGCTCAATATAAAATTATTGACATTTAACCATTTTTAAAGTACAAAAATGTCAGTTTTATATGGATCAATATATTATGTTATACTCACTAATAATGACAATATTTGACATCCTAGAATTTTAATCAATAATCTCAGTTTTCTTATACCAAAAACATAGGCACATTCCTAAGCTATGTGTTTCCTACATCCATCATACATGTGTCCATAGTACGAACTCTAAAGTACGCTGTGATAGCAAGTACTTTGACATAATGTTTGCCGTTGTATTTTTGGTAACGAGAAAATTTTAATGGAGTAGCTTCTTTTCTGATGATTTGGTCTCGCTTTTTTTCTTTATCATCCTCTGATATTAATTACTTGATAGGTTTCCATTGTACTTGGCAGACGATATGAGGCCTTCAGTGAAAACAGGTTTATTGATGGTGAGTTTGATAACAGTGGAATATTGGTTGTAGTAAATTGAGGAGGTAATGGGTAAGGAAACGCAGACTGAATAGACTAATCTTTGATAAAACGTGCGGTGAAAGGAAGGAGATCTGCCCAATGGCAACGGTGATTCAATATCCCTGGAGAGTTTTATATTTTATATCATATAAAATACTGGATAAAGAATGTGTGGTTTAGAGCTCAAGGATAAGCTCTGTACTTTAGAAACTCTGCACGAATATTGAATCACCATTGCTACTGGGCTTGCATAATGTAGTCCCCAATTAAACCAAAACCAAATCTGTTGCCTTCAAGTTAATTCCGACTCATAGCGACCCTATAGGACAGAGTAGAACTGCCCCATTGGGTTTCCAAGGAGTGGCTGGTGGATTCAAACTGCCGACCTTTTTGGTTAGCAGCCGAGCCACCAGGGCTCCAGAGTACCCAATTATTGTTTTAAAATTAAATTGTACTATTCGGTTATTGTCTAGAAAAACAATCAATGGAACCGTGAAAGTAAATATTGTCAACTAAAACTGCTTTGGCAAGAAGACAGGTAAAATGTGAAATCTGGAAAGCATCATGGAGTTCCAAGAATACAGCTCTTGAATGTATTTTAGGAGAATGTATTGTAAAAGTTAGACAATCATAATTAGAAGACAAATATAGAATCTGAGGTTTTACTTTAACCTGGAAGTTGCTTTTTTTCCGATATAGACTAAAATCTAAGATGCCTAGAATAGTCTGCATCATTTCTCTTCAAAAACTGTAATACCTACATGTAACTTGCAGGGTGCTAAGAAGATCGCCCTCTCAGTAGATAGAGAATGTAGCGCATGACAAGGGCAGTTGTTATAACCCTATGAAGTACTTTACAAGAGTTACGGAACAGATCTGAGAGGTGGTTAGAGTTGTCTGCTGGATATTTACACCATGAGTGGGTTAGGACTGTGATGGTCACAATGAAAGAAAATACGGATCATGGAAGTGTAAGGCAGACTCGCAAAATATTGGCAATTTTAGTCAGATGAAGGGAATATTTTTCATTTGGAAAACTGAGGTAAAAAATGGTTCCTTGGACCTGCCCTAGCTTTTCTGTTATAGTAGCAGTTGAACCAATTCAACTCTACCACTAACCAGCGGACTGTCCTTGAGCAGGTTACTTAACTATCCTTGCCTCTGTTTCCTCATCTGTATCATGAATGATAATAAATGTCACAACTTCTGACTCTATGTCGTTTTGGTAAAAATCAAGTGAAGTAATAAATATAAAGGAGAATATAAACATTATTCATTGTTATTATCTTTTTCATTATGTTTTATAGAATATCATCCAAATAAAAAAAAAATTAATCGTTTTTACAGGTGGAAGAAATCTTAGAGAATCTCATTCAACAGCTGAGTGTCCAGTGCATTATAGTCTCAGAAAATAAAGACAATTATTGGCTTAAAGGAACACACAATTAACTAAAGGTAGCAGATAATTAAAATAAAATATTCACTATACTCATATCATCCTGGAGTTATGCGCATGGATTGATGGAAGAGTACAGGAATGGCACCGAATGCTCGTGGTAAAAGTCCAGGAAGGCTTATGATGGCAGATGCAGCCTGAGCTGAGTTTTGAAAGGATCTTAGGGGCATTATTAGCAGGTGAAAATTTGATGAGGTAACAAAGGCAAGATGTTTCAAAGAGAGAGCGTAACACACCAAAAAGTTCTATTCTATGAAATCTTAGACGGAGTAGATTATATTACATTGTACAGAATCATGGTTCCTTTTATTTGGGTATATTGCATCAGAGCCTCCTTGTGCTCTATTTCAGGTCTTCTTGCCCTCAGCTGTCTCCTCTTCCATCCACCACTGCAGAGACCATTCTGTATGGCCTCCATTTCATTCCTGCAGGTGTAACCTGAGAGGGCCTCACCATAGGCCCCTGCTGTTTGCCTCTCACCCCCAGGACGGTATTTTCCTGATGATGCTGAGATATGAGATATTGGACCATCTCCCAGTGCCCAAGTATGTGTACCTGGAAGTGCAGGAGAGTGAATGCTTCTGAGGAGAGAATCTAAAATAGGATTTGATTACATTCCACAAGACATTCTTGTTCAATGTGTAGGTTATGTCTGCTTTCTAACAACTCTTTTGACTGGCTAGCATCAAATCCTGGACATAACCACCTGGAAATATTGTTCTCCTTGGTATGATGAGCTTTTTAAGAATGAAAATTGCTGGAGTAATGGGGCCACAGAGTCTGTGTTAAGTGTGCCCCACCCCTTTCTGGCAGTATATAAAGTCCTGGCAGAGCAGATGGCGTTCAGACTTCACAGTCACCCTCCTGCACCTCAGCTGAAACTTCACCTCTCAATACCATGTGTTACAACTACTACAGTGGGTGTGGCTACGGTGGTGGCTATGGCTCCCGCTATGGCTGTGGCTATGGGTCAGGCTATGGCTGTGACCATGGCTCCCACTACGGCTGTGGATATGGCTCAGGCTATGGCTGTGGCTATGGCTCAGGCTACGGCTGTGGATATGGCTCAGGTTATGGCTGTGGATATGGCTCCCGCTATGTCTGCGGATATGGTTCTGGCTGTGGATACGGCTGTGGCTCTGGCCCCTGCTATGGCTACCTCTGCTATGGCTACCGGCCACTTTGCTACAGAAGATGCTATTCTTCTTGCTGCTAGAACATCACTATCTGAGCACCGTTTGCTTCTGAAGTGACACTTCTAGGAATAATTCTGCTTCAAGACCTTCTATACCAAGATTTCTACATTCAAGAAATTACATACTTGACAAGGGGGCTGACCTCCAAGCACCCGTTAGTTAGAATGGTATCTTTATGTCCGGAGGCTCCATGATATCATCTATTTTCCACATGTTAGTCTTCACTCCCTTAATATCTGATTCTCTGTTATGACTGTGTCGATTTTCCCTAAAGTTGGGGGAATCACTTATTCTCAATAAAAATGGTTCTTTTTTCCTAGAAAATCTCTATGTAGTTGTTTGTGAATTACTCCTTTCTGGAGATGTTATAGCCAGTTGAAAACTGGGCGAACAACACGTTGGCTGAACCTGAGGTTCTTCATTGATCGAATGTAAGTATTTCTTCTTAGACCTGTATCGTAAAGTATGGTTCTCCACCCATTGCTCATGTCCAACATGTTCAGGCACTTACACATCTAAATACAAAGCACATAGCATTTCAGAGCTATGCTTTGACAATGGCTATGGTGTCTAGAATGTCGATGGAGGGTATAAAGGAAGAGTTATGACACTTACTTAAGAGGTAATGACAAAAATCCCAATGAAAGGAAATGCGGTCAGCATATTTAGAAGAGTAATAAGATTGTAGCGGTAATCCAAGGTTATTGAGGAAGTGGAATCAGACTTCACTGCTAAGTGTGAGAACCAAAATCCTAAGAGAGGGTTAAGTTATTGGAGATATATTTCATACCATCTTAATTTGATAGAGCTGAAAACATAATTGACATATTTTGAGAAAATTTAATGCACATATGCAAACGACCATTTTTTAATATTTTGATTAGAC